AGTCTGGTGTGAGGTGTTAACAATTAGTTTTTGTGAGTAGTGATTTTTTTTTTGTACTTTTATTTTTCTTGTGGTTCGCCGGGGCCCGCGGGGGGTTTTTTAAGGGGGGGGGGGGGGTTTTTTTTTTTTTTGGGTGTTTGGGGGGGGGGGGGGGGGGGGGGGGGGGGTGTTGTGGGGTTGTGACCTTTAAAAAGTTGTTTACCGTGTCAATATTTGTTAATACAGTTGCAACTCGTCAATCATTTTTTTAAATAGTTTAACAAACGAGAAAGGAGTTAATAACAAATAAATGTAACCATGCACAGCAGCATCATAATTTCCGCGTGTTTCATTTACTTCAAAAGTTTGTCCGTTCTCTCCTTGCGGCTTTGATTAAAACCTTTCTTTTGTCATTGTTGAACAGAGCCATGTTTTAAACCTTGGAGCTGCGGAAAAGGACCTTTTCCTGCTGCGATGGTTGCAGGATTTACCAGCAGAAGCTTGCAGATCGGGAAAAAATTGCATTATCATGCTCTGCTTAGGTAATTCCTGAATCTTCTTCATGATGTCTACAATGTCATCGCGTTCAATCTGTTTTAAGAAATGGTAGCTCCGTGGAGATTTAAGAACCTTGATAAAAAACAAAAAAACAAAAACAAAAACAAAAAAAAATTACTCCATTGTTGGTATATGTATTTCATCACCTGGCTGGTGTAAACGCAGAAGTTTACAACTAAGTGCAGTTTTGTAAAGATAGTCGTTTTGAGACTTACCGACCAAGGGAGAATGATCGAGGTACCTCATTCTCTACTGGGCTTATCTTAATATGATATAGGATCGAAACGGACCAATCATAAATTTGGATGCTTCGGAGAGATCCACCAGTCGAATATTCTTATTCCATCAAAGATTCCTTTTATTTGAAAGTGTGTATTTCTTTATTTCATTTTATTATTATTATTTTTTCAAAAAATGGCGGGGGGGGGGAGGGGGGGGCTGGCCCTCCCAGCCCCCTTCCCTGCGCGGGCCTTTAATGCAGTGGTTCATGGTACTGGGTAAGGCAGTTTGCCCAGACTTCTACCAAGAACTCGGAAAACAATCACTGACGTCACTGTTCTTAGAAACAGTCTTTCATTTAACGCAAAATACTTCACAAGAACTGTCAGAAGTTGCTTGCAAATACATATTTGAAAATAGAATATGAAAATTCTACCAAAAGTGTTGGTATAGCCTTGTGAAGTTTAAAAGGAAAAGCTTAAAGGTAAGTTGTACGACCCCGTGTTAAATGTTTTGTATCGCATAAACAACCTCGTGTCGGAACGTCTGAAAATTTACGTTGTGGCTTTTAGCTCTGAACCGTTTTCATGAACCAAACCCAATACATTAAATTTATAGTACATGAAAAGTTCGGCGTCTGAATCAGTTAATTTGGGACGGCTCAGCCGGGAGAGTCGACTTTGGAGCGAATTTCGCCGACCGCTTTGGTTCAGACGCTGAGCTTTCTAAGGCATAAATTTCTATAAATATCGTTTTTTGACCGAAATGGGTATTTGTCTCCTTTTGAATTTAGTTCGGTTGGGTCTAAATAAGTTCAGTGGATCGTAAAAATTTTGGTCGGCCGTAATTCCACTGAATTTGGTTCGGTTCATTAAAATTTTAGTTCCACGACTGAACCGAGGCTTAATGTTCAGAATGTTTCACTTAGCAACTGTTGGACCGAGACGAAGATCAGTCTTAACAAATGGAGCATAAACGTACTTTTATTTCTAATTTAACCTTACCCTTATAGCAAAGTAAAACTCCCTGTTGATGGTCGAAATCTTAACAGGTGAAGTGACAGGCTTAATTGATGATAACATTTCATGGTACTTAGAATCATGAAGTCTTTCCATTACCCTCAGCCGTAGAAAAGCAAGCAAATTCGCTGTGGCTATATGGCCGGTAAGCGGTCAAGGTTTTCAAAACACTAAATGGCCGGCAGTCTTATATTCTCAGTACATTTCACAAAATAGAAAAATCCCAGCTAATCTAATCTAAGTTATCATATGTCGATTAAGTGTTTTGAAAACCTTAACCGGCAGTCGAGCTGAAAAAAGTAACCATGGTTTTGTTTTCTGAGCCCAGCGCGTGAACCAACCGCTATTCTTGAGATCTATAAAGCATTTCAGGATCGCTTGACTTTTCTTAATCGACATATGATAGTTTGGTTTAGCTTTATTTTTTCGATTTGTGAAATTTACTGAAAAGACAGGACTGCGGGCCATCTAGTATTTTGAAACGCTGTGGCTATATGGCCGGTAACCGGTCAAGGTTTTCAAAATACTAAGTGGCCGGCAGTCCTGTCTTTTCAGTAAATTTCTCAAATCGAAAAAATCAAGCTAAACCAAACTATATGTCGATTAAGAAAAGTCAAGCGATCCTGAAATGCTTTATAGATCTCAAGAATAGCGTTTGGTTAACGCTGGGCTCAGAAGACGAAACCATGTTTTGTGACAGTTATTGGAACTTTTTTCAGCTCGACTGCAAAACACTAAATGACCCTCAGTCCTATATTCTCCGTAAATTTCACAAATCGAAATAATCCAGCTAAACCAAACTATCATGTCGATTAAGAAAAGTCAAGCAAAATGTGCTGAATATAGGACTGCCGGTCATTTAGTGTTTTGAAAACTTTGACCGGCATTCGAGCTGAAAAAATTCTAAGTGTCACAAAACATGGTTTCGCCCTCTGAGCCCAGCGTAAACTAAACGCTATACTTGATATCTATAAAGCATTTCAGGATCGCTTGACTTTTCTTAATCGACATATGACACTGATATGATAACTTAGATTAGCGGGGATTTTTCTATTTTGTGAAATTTACTGAGAATATTAGACTGCCGCCCATTTAGTGTTTTGAAAACCTTGACCGGTTACCGGCCACATAGCCACAGCGAAATTAAAAGCTTTGATAATTAATCCGTCCTGTTGACATCTTTTCTCAGAGCTAGAGATGTTAACTTCCGAATAGTAGTATTATAGTACACAGATGAGTTTCAACAATCGAAGTTTGCCTTATTTTATTTTATTTCATTTCATTTCATTCAGTTTGAAATATACACATATCAATATTGCTTCCGGAAATTGAAACTATCGGTAGTTTTCCCGGAACTGCACTATCATCTGTTTATACATTTAAAGCCTGGCAGCTTGTCCTTCGTAAGATATTCATAACGTTTCGATCCAGCATGTAACATGTTAAATGTAATTTCCTTTATGATCCTTACGATGAAAAATTCAAAATTGTTTGTCACGAGTGAGAGGCATGTAGGTTAGCATATAATTTGAAAGTGAAATTTCTTGCAGATAGGGTTTTCCCAAACCAATCAAATGCAAATGCATTCATTAATTGACCAAACGTTCTCATATAACGCTTAAGTATAAAGTTTTTGTAACCGCGCTGTTGTTTGGCAATGACCGATGTTTGAAGTCTTCTAACATTACAATTGAAATTCCTTTCAAGAATTGCTTGCTTGGGTAGTGGTGATACGCTTGGAACCAGTGGAGCTCTACGGAACTTTCTGGAGGAACAATTCTCTTCGATGCAGTTCTCTTCAATGGTAGTTAGTAAAGTCCAAGATCCACATTAATCACAACCACGGTGTGGGCAAGGAGTACATGAGGGGTAAATTGTTTTGCCTATTCGCCATACCATAGCAGGCGGCAGAATTTCTTAACGTTTCTTTGTAGACTGTCAGGCCATAGGTTGGTAAATACAGCGGTGAGGTAAAAAGAAAGCGGGAAAAGAAAAGGAATCCAAAAGGCTTACAAGAGCGTAAATAAGAATGGAGGTAAGTAATATTAATAGTTCGTTATTTCCAGTTGTTATCTGGGTTAGCCAAAGGCAAACCTCAGTAAACAAAGATAAAAAATCGTGCTAACATTTATTGCCAATTGGCATTGCTGGCAGTGCTGTCAACTTTCCCGGATAATCCGGGAGACTCCAGATTTTGGACCGTATCTCCCGGTCTCCAGATTAGAGTCTGATATCTCCGGGATATTCGCCATAGTTGCTATTTCTTGTAGACTCGGGTTTCCGACCGTAAAATTTCTATATTTTGCGTGGTTTGAACTACTGTTAACATGGAACGTTTCCTCATAAATTCTTGTGTGCCAGTGTAATTTAAGCGATAATGTGGCTAAATATGAACTGTTTATGTGCTATAAACGTCGATCAGAATCAACGAGCGTTTTTGGCACAATTGACGTCATTAGTGGTGCGATATGACATCATCTATCATCCCTTCCCTATCAATTCTCAATATCTGATGACGTGGGGGGTTAACAGCCCTGCAAAGGGCTGAGAATGAGCCGCCTGTCTATGCTACCTGCAGCCTCACGAAAGCACCCCAGCCACTGGGGACAATAAAATTAAGGCCTTTTTCTTCCCAAACTAAACGAATAAATAATAATAATAATAATAATAATAATAATAATAATAATAATAATAATAATAATAATAATAATAATAATAATAATAATAATAATAATAATAATAATAAGAAAAGAATCTTTATTACAAAACCTCAATTAAAATCCTATTTACAATCAACCTGCTGTTACAAAAAATCTAATTAATTCATCAAAAACACTATCTACAATTCCATCCGTTACAAAAGAAACCCCTCGTCCTTCATTAGAGAACAAAAACAATCCTATATGTTATAAGTGAAGATAGAAAAAACTATTCATTTACAAATTCTAAAAAAAGGAAGTAACTTAACCTTACATAAAAGAAGAGGAAATAGATATAATTAATAATAAAAGTTCAAAATTCTTTAAAATTAAAAATTCCATTATGTAGAGATATTAAGATCCTGCAATCGAATTATACTAATGACGGCTAAACCAGTGTCCATAAAAAGCCCTAAGTATAAAGCATATAGACACGTATTTCAGATATCCGCACTAGCGACATTTATTTTACAGTCTAATGATTGCTCTAGCTTGCTACGAAACGGCGTTCGCGAACCTCTGACGCATGCATGTACCGATCTTAAGAGTTCAAACGAGATCTGTGTCCTGAGCCAAGTGATTACAACATGATAAGGCTCGGTGTCTTAGTGATTACAACATGATAAGGCTCGGTGTCTTTCTGAGCTATCTTGTCTGCTAGATGCTTTAAGAACCGCTGACACCCGTTTCCCATTCCGCCATTGGTTCCAAACACTAAAGGCGTAAACGAACCCATTTCTACATCTAACACCCGCTGCTGGTACTTGCGCTTCTTCTCTTCTTCTTGCTCTTTGAACACTTCCGATGTTGGCTTGCTCTGGTAACACTTGGATTTGACGTGCGTAACTCTAACATCAAAAAATGCCGTAACTCCTCTTGCCCAGAAACCTCCCGCTTTGATGTCCAACCTTGCCTCAGAACTTGTAACAGCGCCCCTCAAATAAAATCGCTCGTTGTCCAGGGGTTGAAGGCGTGGTTCGATTTCGACATTATTGCAGATCTTGTCGATGAATGTCGTTAACAAGTTCCGTACACCATCATGTCTCTGCGCTACAAACCCCCCCCTTTTTACAAGAGAGGGCGTGACTAACGGTGAATTTATCCCCACATATGCAATGACTTGGTAAATCGACTAAGGGTAAGTCATAACGCAAGCGTAGCGAGTCTCTGAACTCTTGCTTGTTGAGGGCTAAACCTTTGTCTGCGAGAGGCATCGCATTCAGCCAAGAACTTGCGCCCTTGTCCCTCGATTGATTAACCAGACGCAGCAGGCCTGGGGAGAGGCTTGAATCAATGCTATCCATTTTCTCTTTGGCACTTGCTCTCTTAAGTGATTGTTGATGCCTCTTTAGCTCCTCCGTAGATCTTTCTCCTGGCACCATGATGGAACTCTGTGATGTAATAGAATCTACGTGGGCGGTGGTTATTAGTCTCGAGGCAGCAAACTGCTGCGGTGCCTCGGATTTCAGATCAGGAATGCCTAGACCCCCTTGACCCGTTGCTAAGGTAGCAAGTCTGCGCACCTCGTTAGGGAGAGGCTCTGATTGACCGAACAAAGTAGGGAGTAGTAAATCTTCAATCACTTCCTGGATTGGATCGACATAATCTTCAAACGATTCAATCGTGCGCATGAAGTAGGTGAACTTCGACTTGTAGCCTTTTGTGAAAGCAATATACGCCGCATGGGGCTGGCTCTTCGCTATTTCAGAGAGACGTTCGATTTCCTCTTTCCATGCACGAACCTTCTCCTCACAATACTGATCTTTGTATTCTTGCGACGCAATAACTGCTCCCAGATGGCGCTGACCTTCAGTCGTTATGTTGACTTCCTCTCCAAACACCCTCTTTGCTTCCTCCGCTAGTTCCCTAGACTTCACAATAAGCCAGCTCTTTGTCCCATTCACAAGGTAACCAAACTTTTGTCCTTCCTTACTCAATTGCCTGTACCAGTTGTATAAGTGCACTATACTCCCTCCTCCAGCTGAGTCGTCTGCAAGCCACACCTGTTTAACCAATGGGCAATGATCCCTCAAATTCTGTATCATTATGGATGTATTAAGTGCATACCATGGCATCGCTAGCGGATCTCCTTGTGTGGTGCCTTCTCGAGAAAGTATTTCACCTCCCCCACAAATAAACAGTCTAGATGGGCTTCTATATGTGTTAATCACATAGAGCGCCATTTCTTTGCACATGATCTGGATATTGTGTAAGGCCGCTGACCTATTCATTTGGTTAAAAGCGTTACTAGCATCAATTAGCAATATTCCATCTGTTCCTTCTTCAACAAACACTTGACTCATTGCATGGATCGCAGCCTCCGCTCCTGCGTTATGACCAGCGCAAACTTGTAGGGGACCCGCCGCTTCTTTTATTTCCTCCTTTAAGAAACCGCTGACCGTTTTCCCCACTATTCTCCTCAGTACCTCTCCAACACCAATTGGTCTGATTCCCGGGTTCTTATCCAGCGGGATAAGCCTGCAGGACGTGAAAGCTTCAAGTAAGGATGGGTGGTACGATTTCCTTAGCAGATTTCTTGTGAACACGGCTAGCTCTTCTCTCAATATTTTGCCCTCGGTCTTGAAATTCTTAGAGCACAGGATTCTCTTATACAGCTCTGCGTCCATTCCAGATGGTCCGGCTGAGCCCTTGGTTTTACTTGCCGAGTTGTAGATCGATTCTTCGTCTATGAGGTCATAAACATTTGGCGGAATATAATCAATTGGGCCATGTAACAAACTCTCCTCTGCGATATCAGCTGCCTGTGGGTGTTTGTCCTGTAGCCCTTGCAGGACATCTGGCGATAGGTCGAGCAGACCGGACGAGCTCTCGTTATCTAGGAGTTTCATAGCAGCTGTCAATTTTCCTTGCAGAACCAGCTTTGAGAAGGCTTTGGATATGTCTTCAACCTTTCTAGGTTTCTTGGAATTCACAAATTTCCCTTGAAAGAACCTCACTTCTTTAAGCAACAAATCAATGTCCCCTTGTTTCCAGAGTGCTAATCGACGCTCTATTGCTTCACTATGCTCCTTGCTTTTGGAAGTAGCGGATGGTTTTTGCAAAATCAAAGTTGGGAGCACCATGAATGCTTTAAGAGCGACCGAGTTCAAGTCAGAGTCTGAATTAAATTGCTTAATCCAGAAGGTTAATTCTTCAATGAAACTCTTCCCTGCGCGACCCGATGGAACATTGAATATATTCCTCCTGTAGTGGACGATTTCATCGTAAACATCGTTGACAGTATTACAGAAACATGCGTAACTAATACTGCCCCAAGTTTTGTTCTTTGTTTCGGAGGGAAGCACATCATAATCAGGCAGATTTGGCTTGATTTGATTTTTGGTGTTTTGATCCTTGCAAGTAGCGGTCCGTCCCTGGGGAGCTCTTTGATCAGCAATGTCGGAAGAAATATGCAAATTCGAACCTTCGACCACATTCACGTTTGATAAATTTTCACCTTCGCATTGGGCGGGTTCGAGACCCTCGGTTTGTGACAACATAGAGGCACCAACCTCTTCTGTTTCGTCTAGAACAGTTGAAGAGTCGCCTCTAACACTTATTTGTGAGTTTTCATCCGTTATCGCTGCTGCGTGGTCGCGAAGATTCTGAGCTGATAACCCCAAGTTCACGTATCCCACGTCATCCCATAGATCTTTCAAAATGCGCATATATCCTTTCTTGCGTCCGTTCTGATAACATGGCGGGTTGCTTGAGCTTTTTAAGCTTAAGGCTTTTTCCCTGCATTCTAGTAAATCTTGATTCATCTTGTCAGTCCATTTTAGCCTTCCTGGTTTTCCAGCGAGCGACCGACCTGCAGCCGCCGCCTCCGCCATACAGAAGTAATAATAATAATAATAATAATAATAATAATAATAATAATAATAATAATAATAATAATAATAATAATAATAATAATAATAATAATAATAATAATAATAAATTAATAGATAGATCTCCAGCCGAAATCGGATTTGAGCCTCCACAGCTCACTTGGCTTTTCCCACTTCAAAATCAGTTGAAACTGCGTGTATTATTATTATTATTATTATTATTATTATTATTAGGAATGGAGGGCACGTTATAAAACAACGGAGGACGAAGAAAAGGCCTTAGCCATAGCTTTGGAGCAATCGCTCAAAGAATATGAAGAGAGCTACAGCCGATTAGTAAGTGCCTCGACGATTTGTTTATTGTTATTCTAGTTAGATCTTTTTTGGTTTAATTGAATTGTTTGATCGAAAGCTTGTTTAGCAATACCTGATAGGTAATGAAGGACTTAAGTCTACACGTTAGGAGGCCAGAGCACTGGACTGGAATCCGGAGAAGCCTTGTTCAAGTTCTGTTGTCGTCCAAACTTACCTGATTTGTTTCTGCATCTCACTTATGAGACAACTGCTGTTCTTCCTCCTGTGATTCGTAGTAGCTTCTTATTATTTTACACGATTAAGCCACATATTGTTTTTACACCAGGAACATAGAGTGCAGCAAGACAGATCGAGACGAGAAGCTGAACTATCGTCAGAAGAATTCCCCACACGAATTAAAGAAAATCATCTGCGAACAAGTCCAGGTAGTGAGAATGTGCTTTTGGCGCGTCATGTCTGCAAAGATAGTAAAGCAAAGAGTGCATTCAGTTTGTTTAGTAATTTTCCACGCAAGAAGTAAAAGAACAACTCTATTAATTCGTATGTTTATTAGAACTTCATAAACCCGCACAAAGGTTAGCAAGTTTGGGCAGGAGTGCTAGACTACAAAGCGCGATATCGGCTGGTTTCGCGCCAACGGCGGCCAGTACCGATCCTCAAAATCTCGAGAAATAAACTGAAGGTACTATGTTTCTTCGCTTTGACTAGACTAGATAATACGCGTGGCTTGGATGATCACTTATCAATGGCGGCCATAAACAGTGTCCTCATTCTTGAATAAAGTAGTTCTGCCATAAGTACCCTCTGTTAACCGTTTGTTCATTTTCTGCTTGTTTTCTGGTTTGCAGTCTGAGTTCTGGGATGAAATTCGCTTGATATGGTAAAAACGACCTCTTCGTGTTGATATTAGGCATTATAAAAGATTTTGTCCCCAGAATTAAATGATCAGCGTGCAAGATCTCGTTAGGTGTTCTCTGCCAACTGCTTACTTTTGGATCAATGTTTTTTTTAGCCACCGTAACAGTAATATTTAATCACCGGTGCGGGCTTATGAAATAGTATTTTTAAGTTAAAAAAATACCAAGACAGTTACCACTTTTCATTAGTAGCAACAGGGACTGCGAGTGTAAGCACCGGTGATGAGCGGAAAGCAATTCCTCTTTGTCTCCCAAATAACCGCAAGTGGAATTCACACGCTCGTGAGTGTACGAAGACAGAACAACAACGCTCGTCGCTGTATGTGGTTGATGAAGCCATTGAGAAGCTCAGGGAAGTCAAAGGTACGTGACCGTTTCTTGTCATGGATTGCGGGCAACCTGAAAAATAATGTGGATTGTAAGACAACACTCTTTTGCCGGTACTTTCTTCCTGGTTGTAAAAACCGAATGATCATCATCACCGGTTAAATTCTTGTGACGCTCAGATCTTTGATATTGTCAGATAGTTTATCTAGGAATAGCCGGCCTTCGCTCGGTGGGCGCTACTCAACGACACGGGGAGACCCAGCCCTGTGGTCCCACCCTATTCCTTTCAATTTGTTTTTGACCAAAGAGGTATCCCTTTCATAAACTTTTACTGAAAAAAAAAAAAATAAAAATAAAGATAAATAAAAACATGGTACCTCTCTAACACACCCCCTTAATAGGAAAGACAAAGGATAAGAATAATCACTAACACAAGAAGTCTTCTTTAGTCATTTTACTGTAACATTAAAATAAGTTAGTCTTATCCTGAAACATTTTAAAGGTCCTTCTAAAGACTTAAAAGATAAATTTTCCGACCCTTTCATATACTTTAACTCGTGATTTCCCTACCCTTTGATATCCCTTTAGGGCCGAGCCTCCATTATAGGAAGCCCCCGCCCCTCGCCTCTTCTCCGGGGGTGGTCTTCACTGTTACTCGTTTGAAAGAAAGTTTCTCGCTCTTTTAGGTCCAGTGTGCGTGGTGTCAATTGCCGGTCCTTACAGAAAGGGAAAGTCGTACATTTTAAGCGAAGCTTTTGATCAACCGAACGTTTTCCCTCTTGGACATGAAATGGTTGCAGAGACCATGGGCATCTGGCTGTGGATTGTACCGGAGAAATATAAGGTAAGCAACAATCTTGCTTTTTACGGTAAAGATACAAAGCCACATGAAATTACCCTGATCCCAACGTTTAAGTTTAAGAGATCAATATGAACATTGCATTAGTAACGCAGTGTGTATGAGTTCGAATCACACTGTATGGTTGATATTTTCCTCACTTCATGAAAAATTAGATTTACACAAATTTGCTCGGGGCAAATATGGTGCAAAGAAGTGCAAACGAGGAGGAAATCAAAGGCAAAGATAGTAAATACCGCGCCTGTATAGCGGTTTACACGGGGTTGTAAAATTCGTGAGCAAATGTGATATTTACCATCTTTCCCGTTGTTTAACCTTACTTTGCACTTTTTTGCACCATATTTGCACTACGTAAATTCGGTGTTAATCAAACTTTTCATTTCCTTTTTTTTACATTTAGTTTCATAGACAACCACTTTTAAGGAGCTTTATGGGACGGATTATCTATCGCTGTCGTCTCTTGAAAAGACCATAAAATGAGCAATTCCCGGTAAATTCAGAAAACCGTTAACAACCGAAAAATTTATGTGATGTAATTGTACTGTGTTGAAAGAAAAACCTTCTTTTTGTCGCTATGAAAAATTTCAGCCGTAAACAGCAACTATAATTAGTTTGTGGTATTAAAAGTTTGTCCACGTATCCTAAACGTTATTGTAACTACACAATCAACATTCCCCCTTAATTATTTCAGGAGTTCACGGTTTTGACGGTTTTCTGAGTTTGCCGGCAGTACAACGTATTAACTTATCATCGAGGAAAAAATCTTTCGTACTTAACTACAGCTTAACTTCCAGGATTCTAGAGGCCAAGAATTCACAGTGGTGCTGCTGGATTCAGAAGGGATTGACGCTGCTTCCAGTGTTGGTTACGATGATAATCAAATATTCACTTTGACGGTTCTGCTAGCTTCCGTGCTTATTTACAACTCACAAGGTGTCCCCATGAGGCGTGATCTCGAAGGACTAGAGCATCCTTTACTTACCCTCCTTTATCCTTATTCTCTCTCTTATTGCGCTTTGAGCAATTTCTTGCTTTGTTAATTGTTTGTTTGCTTCTGCTTTTTTAGGCGGAGACAAAAGTACTAAAAAGGGTGGAGCTCTCATACAAGGACATTTAATCAGTGTGGCTTTATTTTATTTCATGATACCTCTCTTATTCGGAAAATGTATATATCATTAGGTGGTTGAGAGAGTGGCAGATTGAGAGACGTTTAAAATATATCATTTTTATTTGAAACGGTAGTGGGAAAATACCTATTCACCTTAAGAAATTAACTCTAGTGCATAATTCTCCTTAACACATACTAGTTTTATAGCAAAGCTCTCTCAAAGAATCCAAGTTAGATCAAACCAAGGGGTTGGTGTCAAACAAAAGGAAACAGAGTTGTTTCACCGAACGTTCCCTTACTTCCTATGGCTGCTGAGGGATGTAACGCAAGCTATTCCACGTGATTGCAAGGATTTGAAAGACTACTTCTTAAAAAAGGTTAGACGAAAATGCAAGACCTTTGCATCAAGACACGCAGTTGTGGTAAAGTGGTTGGAAATGTGTGTTAATTACCGATCTGATGTTTGTTTCCCAGGGCTCAGTTCCTCAAAACATGGTTAAGTTTAACTCAGAGTACGCCAAATTTTAACTGGGCAAGGCTTTAAGGTCGAGGGAAATGTATCTGGAGCTTATAAGATAACGTTTAGCCTTTATTCTGAGATTCAGTAAGTTAAATTTTGATAACATACAGTTATCATTTGAACCGGGAACCTAGAGTTAAAAAGATCGATACAATCATCACAAAATTTAATCCTTGGTTTATTGCGTTGATCGAGCTTTCAGCCGTAAACGGGCTCATAGTATAGATTCATTCTGTTTTCCAGGCTTTGTCATAAATTTAGCCCTCTGTTCCCGGTTTCCCTGTCGTTGGGTGCGGCTGTCTCATTCTGGTTAGTTCTGTCTCTTTTCCCTTTTTGTAGGTTTTTAGAGACCAAGATTCCGCATCATTGTCATCATCTCGCCATCAGAGCCAGCAAGTAGCGGAGAGCATTCTGCGTTACTTTTCTGGTTTTGAAGCCTTCCACTTGCCTCCACCTACAGCTGAAGAGCACATAATGAGAACCCTTAACGAAAATAGGAGTCAAGTACGACGTCAATTCTTAACTAAACTGGAGGAATTTAAGACCCTGCTTAAGTCTACTCTGTTTCCAAAACACAGCTGCTTTGATGGACAGCTGGTGACTGGAGAAGGTAACAAGTCTTTATACCCTTTCAGTATAGAGTAAAAATCAACAGTTCTAAAAGCATAGTGTTTATATCAGTGAGGATGAGATACTACCCAAAAAGTGCTTCTGGTCTTTGATTTATACTAATAACAATGCGTTATTCTGGCGTTCTACTTTTTCATGTGATTTTTTTCCTACATAAAAGTGAGTTTAATGTCAAATAATTAGACAATCAAATAGAAATTATAAAGAATGTCCATCCGCCACTTTAAAAAAAATACCACAATAATCTTTTTGTCCCCCCCTTCCCCTCCCCCCGCTTCCGAAGTTTTGCATAACCATTGTTTTCAGTTTCTCTTGGGACGATTCTAAGTCCTACGAGAAACTGAAAACAATGGTTATGGAAAGCTTTGGGTTGTTAGACAAAAATATTGTTATGGTTTATTTTTCTAAAGTGGAGAATAAAAATAATTTCAGTACATAATACACAGCGAATACAAAGAAAACTTGTATGCTTGACATGTTTCGAGTATGTTAGTGTCGATCGTTAAAATTAGAATATGATTGCTCTAAACTGCAGTTGTTTGAGCTGATTTTTGATCAGGGTATTTTAGGCTATGCATGTATACACTGCACCTGATATTGGTCTTGATGGGTAATTTCGGAGCGCTTACTTTGTATCGGAGCAAAAGCTGCAGCCACGTTGATCTTAAGGAAGTCCTTAGTGCTAGATGAAAACATATCAGATAGGTTTCTGTACCAGTCCGTTTGTGGCAATGTGAAAAGGTGTGCATACCCGCGGCCGAAGTATTTTCCATATCGACATGATAACATACACATAAGCTATCCGCTGTAGTGTAGGATACCCTTTATTGTGCGAGATGTTCAAATTGTGATCTGTGCGTGTACTGCTGCATTTTCCTCATCAGGAAAGGTTTGAAATTGTGGTTAGTTGTTTTCCTATAATCGTTTTATCTAAGTAGAAAATAACAAAACATAGAAAAAGATTAACTGAAGAGAGAAATTTCACTAACTAATAACAGGACTTGCTGCTTTGATCACTCTGTACGTGGAAGCCATTAACACTCCTGGTTCTGTTCCAAACGTGCAGTCCGCGTGGGAGACGTTCGTGGAAACAAAATGTATCGAAGCCAGAAATGTAGCTATGGATATTTACAACACTCGTATGCGGGAGGTTTTGTCCAGTAAGCTCCCGTGCGACAATGATGAAATTCGCAAGGTACATAGCGATTCGCTAGAAGAGTGTCAAAGACAGTTTATGGCCGAAACCACTGGCATATCCACGATAACAACTGAAAAGTACTTACGGCTGCTAAAGGTAAGGTTTTAATGTACTCTTTGATACCTTTAAGGAATGCGATTGGATGGAAGAAATATGATTATAATGACATTGACAATAATAACGATGATGTTAAAAATGTTTGTAATGATTATGATGATGATGATGATGATGATGTTGATGGTGATGATAATCAGAGTGATGATGATGATGATGATGCTGATGATGACGACGATGATGATGATAAGTGAATAGAGTTGCTTAATAGTAAGTCTGCTAAGATACTTGTTCCAGTTACTAGATCAGAGCAATAACATCAGGCCTAAATTATGTACTTATCTGGGTTGAATTTGATCTAAAATGTTGCAATTTACCCTTACATTTTCTTGCCTTCCAGAAGGTAGTTGTTTTTTGTTAACTCTCTGCTTATAATCTCGTCTGATTTCTCCTTCCTTTTTGATGCATTCCTTTATTCAGCAATCGTTGATCCAGAAGTTGACTGGATGGCAGACTGAGAATACCCGGTTGACCAAAGAACTCTGTAATAATTTGTTGTCTAAATTGAAACGACAACACCTGGGTCCAATCCTTCATCAACTACAAGGGCATGGTGGATCGAATTTGTCTTTCGACGACATAATAGGAGTATACCATCGCATCAAAGACGACTATGAAGGACAAGCAGTTGGAGCAAAAGATGCGATCGCAGCAGCTTTTTTCGATTTCCAACCCGTAAGTAATTCCTCGCTGTTAAACGTACTTCATGCTGCATTTGACCTTGTTGTGGCTTGTTCTGGTGTAAGGTTAGCTTTGTAGCTTTTCCTCGAGTGTTCTTTTTATTTTTCGTCTCATATTGTTTTTGTTATTGTTCTATTAGTTTTTTTTGTTCCGTTTTTCCAGTTCTTTATGCCGTCGCTCATGTGCGTTTGTCAGTTCTTTGGCGGGATTTCCAGAAAATTCAGACCCGAAAAACCTCCCGTTCCTGGTAAAATGACATTAATTTGCATTGTTCAAAACTTTGGACAAATTGTCAACTGTATTTTTTGTTCCTCCATTGCGGCCGCGAGAGTAGTTAGAAAAGTTGCGTCCTTAAAGGGGTTTAAGTCATTTTCCTGAAAACCTAACGAAGGATTTTTCTGTCAAAAGAATGCGTTTGAATATTAATTCGACTGCCATTCTTGCTTACTCATGATTATATGACCTAAGATATATAGAATCAGACTAGCTTAGAAGTCAGGCTTCCAAACAAGTCTGCATTGAAATCATTAAAACACAATTGAGAAAAAAAAAATGTGATGATGATTGTCACAACTATTGTAGGAACTTGCAAGGGAAACAAAGCAGTACCTTGAAATATTACGACAGATGAAAAACTTTGATGAAAAAGCAGCACAAGAAATGAGAGTAAAAGCTCTTCAAGAGCGAGAGAGAAAGAGACTAGAGGTAAGTCTACAGACTAGAGGTTTCTACTGTGATGAAGTTTGAATGAAGAGATGAAAAAGGAAATCAATCAAACGGCTTTAAGGATTACCTGCTGATTTTCACACATACCGTTATAGTTCTGGATATTTGTGAGTTGCCCACAAAGTCGAATCAGACATTTTGGATGAAAAATTGTTACACAAAGGACACGCTACAGCAAACTATATTTAAAAAAAAAAAAAAAAAATTCATGGATGGACGGCTCTCCATATTGTCGGTGCAGGTTCGTCAAAGTTTAAAGGAATACAAGGACGTTTTTACTTGTTATATCCTTTCCGTCTTAACGGAGAAAGTGCACGTGAACATCAAGGTGCGCTTATTCTAGGACTGTAGAAGAGGGAGGTAAATAAAGGCTGTCTCGTCCCCAGTTGTCTTGCGTGCTCGCGAGTTCCCCAATCCCCACTTAGACTTGGGAAAGCCTGTGGAGGAGGCCGAAATAAAGGTAAAAAGTTTGGATAAGGGCACATGTTTTCCCCGAAAAAAATATCCTGAAAAATTCAGTACTAGATTAGAACAAACTGAGTGTTTGTACTAAGAAGTACATGCTACAAAATCGCCCTTGTCTGGCTAGTATTCTACAATGACCACAAAGCGACAGTTTTCATCATATTCGAATTAAGTTCATTTTCCAGCTCAATCTAACAATATGACATTTCATGCACAGAAATATCATGATGTGTTAAAATAATCGAGAATTAATGACAGATGATTAAACAATAGACCTTTTAACGATATATACGGCGGCCATATTGAATTAATTCGATTTAAGGAGTATTATAGGATGCCCAGGGGGCATGAGCACATTTCGTTTGTATTTTTCGTTTGTATCATCGCTTTTGTCTAGTTTAGTATTAGAAATGTGGCCTTTCGCTGTATATTTCTCGGGAAAAAGGCGATCATTATTACATCCAAACACTGCACAAGGATCTTTTTTTCCCATTACAATCATATTCTAAGAAAACTTAAAGAAAAAATGTCCCGAAAAGCGCTTGAAAATACAAACGAAATGTGCTCATGCCCCTGGGCATCCTATAATACTCCTTAAATCAAATTAATTCAATATGGCCGCCGTATCGGTAACCTTGATTTATTACCATGATTACTTTAGGAAAAACAGCTGCGACTTCAGCAAGAAAATCAAGAACACAAAAAAGAGGTATCAAAATTCCCTGTCTATTTCTTCCTTTCTTTTTTATTGTTATCCAATAAACGATTTGTACCTTGCACCATTTGCTTTATGAACAGACAGGCCACAGAAAAGATTGGACCTTGACCTGGGGTATGCCAATACATACGTGTATCCGATACTTTGCGCAAGTTAAGCTTAGCAGGCTTGACACCCAGTTTTAACCTTTTTGTTGTGGACCTCTGAAACGACGTGTTTGTTTCATTTTGATTTTTCCATTGGACAGTGGTTCTTGCACTCTCCTATGTGCACCTGTTGTTGTTTCTTCTCTCTCGGTTTTTCCTCACTCAGAAAAAAAGAGGGACTGCTTCGATTGTCGCATGCCATGCGACAAAATTTTCTTGCAAGAAGGACGTTTTGAGTTAGCATTTGAAAAGATATTGGAGTGCTTAGTGTATAAATGACGACAGCCGTTAGCCTGATTATGATTGTCTGTCTTCACATGTAATGACCTTCAACCGTTTCATTTTTTCTTTTCTTTTACTTTTCTTGAAGATGGAAATGTTGATCACTAGGCTCGAGAAAGAGAGGGTACAATATCGGCAGCAGATGCACAGTGAGCTGGAAGCACAGCGAGTTCAAATGAAAAATATGATGGCAGCAAATATGAAACAAGCCGAGCGAGAAAGAGAGGCCTTCATCAAGGACAACCAAGCCTTAGAGGAGCGCTTTCTGGTTATGCAAAGATCAAACGAAGAAAACATGAAACTGATAAGAAATATGACCGCTTTGATTGCAAGGCAACATAAAGAAAAGGAGGTTCTTAGAGAAAATGCCAAGGAACTGCCCAGGGATAAAATGGAAGGCTTGTTAAACGAAATGAGTGAAAGACACACAGATGAGGTCAGCGCATTGCTTAAAGAAACAGACGATCAGTTTGAGGGAGCCAAGAAGCTGAAGCAAGAAACCAGTGACGAAGGGGATGATAATACATGCCACAAAAATTTGGATGAAGTGCCAGAGATGATTAAATTGAGATCAGAGGCTGTGGAAGATGTGCAGAAAAAGATAACCGAGACTCATCAGGAACAAGAAGAAGTCGAGACATCAAGTTACATAAAGAAGGGATTAAAATTTATTGCGCGAACTGCAGTACCAATTGGTCAAATTATTTCTTTTGTTCAACCAGAAACAGCACCATTCGCTGTGCCAGCAAGTGCTGCTATTGGTACTGCTGCTGAAGCACTGTCTAATGAATGCAGTATAATGTGAAGTTTTATAGGAAGCCAAAGTATTTCTAGCTTCATTAACTGTGTTACCAACATGTATTCTATCTCTGAAAAAGATGCAATTTACTCGATCAACGAACTCGAAAAAGTGCGAAAGTAAGATATTAGTGAAAAGAAGAATGTTTTTCAATCCAAAAAAAAAAGCTATACATGATTTGTCTGTAAATAGGAATTAGCTTAGTTGCCTAAAGGTATGAAAATTACCAATCAATCGAAGCATAACCGGATCCTTTTATTTTTAATTAATTATTTATTTTTTCATTCAGATGACCTGGCCTGCCTCTTAAAGGCTAAATCACTCCTCAATTAAAAGGGGAAAAAAAAACCTCTCTGGACAAGAGGTATATACATTTAGCCAAATGTTTGAAAACGTGCTTCAAAATGGCCCAGAATAATCGCACAAGAAGCACGGTATGGTATGGTATGCTCGGCGGGGGTGATTTGGGGGAAGGTGTCTCCAAGGAAATCGGTGGTTCAGTTCGCCTGCCAATATGACGTCACGTCTCGCGTCAGTGACTTTCAAAATGGCGAGCAAAGTGTTCATCGAAGAGACGGATAAAAATTTCAAATTTATTACGGAAATACTGTTCCGATGTCTTGGATTTGGTGATTTTAAGATTCTCATTGTCATAGGAATCTAGACATTGGTCCTTTATTGAAAGGAAACGTCCAGTGGTGTAATGAATTTTAAAAGATTCGTTTCTATGGTCGAGCAAATTTTACGGGTAAGTATACCTACCGGTCACACCAGCTGTAGCGTTGAAAGAGGAAGCTAAATGACAGGTATTTGTGAGAGACTCTGAGCACTGAATCTTGTTGCTTTACCGCATTTTAAAACTGTATTGGGCATACACCTGTGATTCTGTAATTAAATCCCGAAGACCAATAAAAGGTTTCGTTTAATTATTGTTTTTAGGTAAACCCAGTGGCGATTTTAGGGTAATAATATTGATGAATAAGACGATGCACAAAAGGCAAGTTTAAATTTCGCCAGTGGGTGTTGGGTGTAAACTAGTACAGTTGTCAGCGGCATTTAACACGGAATTCGCTACCATTAGATTTGCACGAGTCACCATCTTTAACTGGTTTTAAGAAAGGATTGAAAACTATCTTATTAGGTAACTTTTAGAGAGTGGGTCATTGTTTTTGTGAAATGATTTAAAGACGTATTGTATATGGGTTGTAAATAAATTTTTAATATTTCTGATGTGTAAATTATTTCATTGTTTCTCCTTTTTTACATTATAAAGCGCCATGAGCTCAGGATATGAACGCTATATTAATAAAGTTATTATTATCATTATTATTATTATTGCTATTATCATTATAATCATAACTATAACAAAATTGTCAAATCTGATTGGCTATCAACTGCCCTGATTTCAGCCTTAATTGGACCGTTAAATAGGACAGTACGCGCCATGCCTAAGTAATTGGACAGTACGCGCCATCACGCGCGCGCTTAAATGGCTTTTTTTTTCACTGCTAGCAAAACAAAATTTCGAATTTCTTGTGCTTTGATTTAAAAAATAGCCTATTATATCACAAATTTTGTTAAAGTTATGATTAATTGGTAACAGAACTTTGTGTCGTCCAATTCGGTCTGTAATCATACTCGTGATTAAACAAATCGGACTCCCGCTTGTTAATCACTCTTATGATTACAGACCGAATTGGACTCCACTCAGTACTGTTACCATTCTCTTATTATCATTATCACTATCATTATTATTATCGTTATTAGTATTATTATTATTATCATCACAGTTTGTGGTGTACTTTGTTTTGTTTGTCATGATGTCAACTAACATTCAGCTGTTTCAAAGGAGGGACATGTCTTGACAGCTTATGGTTTTTCCCAGGTGGTGTGCGCACTACGATCGCTAAGAATTATGGGTAGTATTCAGACTCTGATCATTTGTGTCAAGATGGCGGGGAGTGAACATCTCGACTGCAGAGTGAATATTCGTTAATTATGGCTCAGTCATTTCCAAGTTTGCTCATCCCCGGGCATTTGTCGGGCAGTTGTCATCTTGTCAGAACCGGCGTTTGGGAATTTGTTAAAAAGCCTCTGCCCGGGGGAGGGGCATTTGTCAAATCTTCTAGAAGTGGTTAACGTCGTTCCTTTTTCAATATTTCACTTAAAAATATGCTTATTTATATAGCTTTAGATATTTCTATAAAGAGATATGCAGTCCGGGATGGTTATCAAAGTTGATAACCACCTTACGTCACAACATGGCGGCCATATTAGAAATGGGCGATTTTCGTACCCTGTTCGTCGTTTTCTTTGTTTGTTCGTCATTGCTCGTCGTATGTAGCCACAATTCCATTGAAAAATGGCGAAAAGACATTTCTCTTCACGTATTCCCAAGATGGCGAGCTGATGGACTTCAGGTTTCAGGGCGGTTGAATTCACACGTTTGAATGAGGTATGTTTTTCAACTTTGCATTCAAGTTTAGGTTATTAAATGAGTTTTGTCACAGTCCTAAAAACTATGGAGCTGATCTGCAGTCTCTTTCCTTTCGATGCCATTTTTGTTTATCCCAATGCAAACTAAGAAAAAAAGAGCATGGGGTGGTCTTGGTCTGCGTCTTGTTAACTCGCTTACCGCCATTTTGTGGTTTCAAAGTTGTTGTCAATCGTTCTATTTATTATCCGAACATTGTGCCATGTTTTTTGTTTCTGGTCGGCCGGATTTGCCCTCTGATGCAAGAGCATTTTTTGGGTACCTGACGCTTTCGTAGCGTAAAGCTTTTTGTTACGGCTGATTAAGCTAGGGTTCTAATTTTCTCCAAAGTGCCTTACCTTCTGGATCCGAATAAATAAGCGATTTTCTTTACTCCGTAAATATAATGTTCTTCTGCAATGATCGCTTTGCATCTGACCGAGAAAAGTCGGCACAGAATCGCTTAGTTCAATGCTTCAATCATGAAAAGCACTTAAGGTAAGACCTGCGGTTCGCCAAAAATTTTGATTTCACAATGAAATCAGTGCAACTAGAAAAAAACTAGTGCTAAGAGGTACTGATATGCGTAACATTGATAATAAATTATACTCCTAAAACAGTTGAAGCTTCTTCCAAATACCCGGCCACTTCTCGGAAAGCTTTAAAGAACAAAGTATGAACACAGTACTTTCTTAGTTGTTATTCAGCAAGATGTTCACTTGTTACAGCTGTAGGTATGATAAGAGTACAGGGGCACCCAACGAGAATATAGTTCAAAACCACTTAAACATAGCAATGTTAAACGTATTTTAGTATTTAAACGGTAGATATAGGCATATTTTTATCCCCTAAAAATTTTTCATCTGTTCGGATTTCCTAGCTGAAAGTCGTGATCGGAAAATTATAGGGATCAAAACTTACCTTTTCGAAAATTTCAGCCAGAAAAAGGCTTCTGAAACACTAGGTGACCTTTTTAGGGTTAAAATCCGTTAAAAATAGGCAATTATACCATTTTTTAGATGTCCGAAAATCCTAGGAGAGGCAGGCAAGCAAGAAATTTTACAAGAAATGTTTCGAAAATTCTAGATCTCAAATCGTCTTCCGAACAGATATTCTTCCGAAAATTGTCGTTGGGTGCCCCTGAGAGTAGTTCAGGGGTCATCTTTTCAAGGACGTAGTCCTCTGTTGACACCCTGCCTGCATTTCCCTTCGTTTACCATCTGTATTTATCATCCACATGAAGTAAATAAAGTTAATGGAGTATTTGGTTTTTGTCTATTCACAGACATTATTGAGCACCTTTATTCAAGAAATACTGCAAAATTGCAAGTTTCGTTCCTATTGGTATGAGTCATAGAATGTCTTAAAACTGGTTTAAAACTGAAAGTGGCATACTTGTTATTACAAAGCCTGATGCAGTCAACAGCAATAGATTTTACAAGAATTGAGTTCATCAGATATTCAGTAGCCTGCGCACCGCAGACGTAGTTCCGTCCTGTGTCTCTCCTGAACAATAGGTGAGCATTGGTACCCAGACTCTTCCAAGAAAATCAGCGACATCACTGTTCTACGAAACATTGAAACTGAGGTAGTGATTAACATAATAACATTTCACACTAGAACTGTTGCTTACAGAAAGTCGATATGGTGAACAATTTTAAGGAAAGCTAAGAGGTAAGCTGTTTTGGGTAGTTTTACCAAAACAATCTCGCTAAAGTTAACCGGATTCGTGGCTACAAATTCGGTGAACGACAGATGCAGACTGCAGACTGGCACATAAACAAGGTAAACATACATTGTTGTGAAATGCTTTAACAGATTCCCTATCCCTTTAACTTCAAGTCTTCTTAAAGTCTAGTTTAGGGATAGGGAATCTGTTAAAGCAGTTCAAAACAATGTTTACCTTGTTTACCTTCCAGTCTTCAAGTCTGTAGTCTGCGTTTGTCGCACACCGCTACAAATTGTAGTTCCAATGTAAATGGCGAACCGGAGAAGAAGATCAACCACGAGGTAAATATTACGCCAGCCTGTTTCTCGGGTGGTCTTAACAAATAACGAAGCATAACCACACTTTTATTTCTTAATTTTGCACACCTTTTATAGAAAGGAAACCCCTTTACTGATGGTTGAGTACATAAACGTGTAAAGCGAAATTTTTCTTTAGTATCAAGAAGCTTTATCATGCTTAATGAATAGTTTATACTCAGTATCATGAACTCTACTATAAATTTTCAGCCTTAGAAAAGCAAACATCAGCAGCTACACGGAAATCGTCCTTTCAAAATATTTTTCCTTTCGCTGGAAATGTGAACTGCAACAGTAGATAAGTCAACAAACTGAAGTTTATATCATCCAATTCCAGCGGAAAGTATGTTTCTTCCCGGAAGTATCTACGGTTGTTTGTTTTCCCGGAAAACTACCAGCAGTTTCAGTTAATAATATATAGATTTAGCCAGGGCTAAAAGCGAAGCTCCCAGTAATAAATTTATATTTTAAATCAAACAATAAACTTGTAATCCACAAATCAGTTAACTTAAGAGCACATTCATGTGACTTTTGAGGGAAAGGATAAGTTATTTTAGAGTGAAACATCTTACATCGAGTTGATAGCCTAAATATATGTACACCCAAAAAATAGCAAACATCTATCACATTCAAGAGCCATAATGGCTCTTGATCACAGTAGATTAGGCCTCGAAAACAAATTCTTGGAAAACAAATCAGGCCGCATTTTTTTGCGTTGGACAGGTTTACTTTACAAATTCTTGCCAACAAATCTGACGGTGTGTAAACCAACTTTTTATACTTTTTATACATCACATCTGAGGTGAAATAGTACTTTTTATCATACAGACCCCGGACAGAATACGGCATTTCACAATTTTTCAATGTTCAGGACGATCAATCGTGGGCTTTTAGCGAAACCGTTCAAAAAATTTTCAAAATCACTCATACGGCCACCCGGTTCTCATTTTTAGTGCGAACTGTCAGTGTGGTCAAGTGTTTGAATGAACTTTAATGGAGATACGCTTCAACATAATAACGAATTTATTATCATTATTTTTTGTTATTTAATGGTTCCAGTTATAACGATGTGTAATCTTATAAAGCGTTTGATACGCGCGACATTTCTAAGTACTCCTGCAAGCGATGTTCATGAACGATGAAAACAAACACCACAGACAAGCGATTAAAATTGCAAGAGAGATTACTAACAATCAATAAGAGAAATATAATTCGGTAAAACATTTACAGAGACAACAATTTTCATTCACGAAGACAAGTATTAAAGTGTCTCTAAAAATCCTGAGTGTTTAAGCTTAAAGCTTAAGCTTAAGTTTATTTTGTTTTACTTTCAGCCGAACTCCCGGTGTTTGTTTTTTTTTCAAAGATGAACTCCTCGAAACAAGAAAATCACTCAAAGTTTCCTTTCTACAGCCAAATTTATAGCTAAATATTCTTCGGAACGTTTTTTTTTTCTATTTGCCGTGAGAAAATATATCTGAAGGCCATTTAAAGTTCTGTAAGCTTATATCAAAGCTGATACTAGATCAGATCATTGACTCAAATCTCCACAAACGTGCAAAAACTTGCCGCTTAAACTGTGCTCGACTTCATGAAATTAGATATAACAAAAACAAACATCAAATACAATAATTACTCAGGCTTACCATTCGAGATCCAGTTCCTGAAAGATATCAAGGAAGGCCATGGTTGCTTGAGACTTTTAAACC